CTCACAATCCAGGACCCTTTGGGGGATGTTGAACTGCCAGTTTAGGCCCCCGAGGGGTCCTGGATTGCAAAAGGGATGTAGCAGTGCGCTAAGTGGCAGGCAGCCTGGGAGGAGCTAAAACTGGGACCGGGCGCCCCTCTTGATCATCCTGGCCTGCTGCACCTGCTGCTGCAGTTCGGTAGTGCTGCTGCAGAGTCAGGAGAGGCTCCCACTGCTGCAGCTACACTCGCCAGCCGTGAGTCTGGCTTCTGGCTGAGCGCACTGGCCCTCAGGGGGCAGCTCCTGCATTGAACGCCTGCCCCCTGATGGTCAGTACACATCATAGTGACTGGTCGACTGGTTGTTTCATCATAACAGTTGCTTAGGCTTTTATATATATAGATGAGAACCAATGTAACATCTGGTACAAATATTCCTCTACTTATGACTGATTTAAGATTTTTTGACTATGAGGATGCAAAAGTGATACACACAGTAAGTTATAACATATTCAACACTTTATTATAAAACAGGTTTTGTGTCAAATGATTTTGCCCAAGTGTAGGGCAATGTAAGTGTTCTGAGCACATTTTGGTAGGCCAGGCTAAGCGGTAATGTTCAGTAGGTTTAGGTATTTTAAATGCATTTTGACTTACGATATTTTCAACCTATGATGGGTTTATCAAGACATGGCCCAACTGTAAGTTGACCAGCATCTGTACTTACGTTTTAAGAATCTGTAAATTAGCTATGAACAACGAACTGTATTGGAATATCATAAAAATAAGGAAATTACAATCATGCTTTATTATTTTGGGGGGTCAACAGAGCACAACAATATCATTAATAAATATGGATAGATTCAGGTCTGTAGTATTAGAGGCTCTTTGTTAGCTAGAGTTGTAATATACAATTTTCCACTAGCACATTCCATACAAAGACAAGAGGTGGAGGAATGTAGGGGAGAGATGGGGATCTTTAAAATAAGAGCCTTTAAATCCTTTTTAAAAAATGAAAACAAAACGGCTGCTAAGTTACTCCCACAGCTAGTACTCTAGTTGTGTAGCCAGGTCAATGGCTGGTTGACTATTGATAAATGATGCTGCATAACAAGCATCAACCTTAGCAGCATAGAATAATGAGCATTCCTTAGCCCACACGTTTGTGGGTTGGTTGGGAGACTGCTGGCCTAGGTTTGGGGGAGCCTTGTTGGAGCAGCTCTGCTCCAAATATCCCTCGGTCTCCTCTGGGGCCAGTGAGAGAGCTGGGAGTGTTCTTCTCACAGCGACGGCTGCAGTGCAGAGGTCAAACCGAAACACACAAGCCCATTTCAAGACTCCTGCGTCACATCTGATGACCTACCATTGGCCAAAGCAACCACATGAGCACGCCCAAGGTCAACGGGCAGGACATTCGCTCCATCCACCGTGAGAACGAAGCAAATTCCATTGCCATGCCCACCGTCAAAGGAGCCAGGGAATATTCTCACCCAATGGAAAGGAGGGGATGTGAATATTTCAAACAATAACATAATCCAGCGCAATCCAAGGTCATCCAGAGAACCAGAAACGTGGTGAATCACTAAGACAGCTGAACCAGGCGTCAGTGAATTCTCCTTCCGCCCTGGGGAACTATCCAGCGTTTCACATTCCACCCTCCTTTGGTTCTTTCCCGTTTTTCTGTTGAACTTCCTGAGCTCAACCCACTTGCCTTGTTTGCATTGCTTTTTTATAAAGAGGAAGGGCGAGGGGGAGAGAGAAACATCAACGTGAGAGAGAATCACTGATCGGCTGCCTCCTGCACACCCCTGACTGGGGATCAAGCCCGCAACCCAGGAATGTGCCCTGACCGGGAATTGAACTGGTGACCTCTTGGCTCATGGAGCAATGCTCAACCAGTGAGCCACACCGACCAGGGCTGCAATTGC